TCTTTCATGTATACACTCTATCAAAGGAGGTAATCTTATTTGCTCTTAATTTTGGGGGATTTTTCTAGAACAGGTACACATACATGTGGAGAATATAAAAAATACAGAAAAAATTTAAATTATCTTTAATCCTATTACCAAGAAACTACTGAAGGTGATAATTTGTTGCATTAACTTCCTGGCCTTTTTTTCAATGTTTGTTTTTTTGAATACTTGAGTCACTAGTATACTTCTCTGGCTCTCTTTCCCACTTAGTAAGGAATCATTGCTGTTTCTTGAAATCATCAAATATTCTTAAAAACATGATTTTTAATGTTTGTATATTTAGGATAAATATTCTCTAATTTAACAATTTTCCTATTGTCATGTATTTCATTAAATTTTTTCCTTTTAAAGAATAGGCTTTATTATATATTTTAATTCCTGTTAAAGGAACTTAAAGAAGTTCCTAAGGACTTTCTTTCTTTCTTTCTTTCTTTTTTTTTTTTTTTTTTTTTTTTTTTTTTTTTTTTTGGTATTCGGGATTGAACTTGGGTCCTTGTGCTTACAAGGCAGGTGGCAGAACCACTAAGCTAAATCCCCAGTCCCTTATTAGTACTATTTATATTATTTGTATTTTATACTTAACCAAATCACTATTTTTTCCAGTAGCAAGTTTTACATTTATTAAAGTCAGGAAAGGAAATAGGCACTGCAGAGTGAGTTTAGGCCAAGTAAAAGTAGGAAAACAAGCACATCCTACAGCATGAGAGCAGACCACCATGCTAAAGAGAACACAGAGGCCCCAATTTATAGCTGCAAAAAATTAGATCAGATCTTCTTTCAGGATGAAATCATGAATGGTAGTCTCCAGGGCACATTTTAACAATGTATCAAAATAAAACAAATTTGGTCAGAGACCAATGATTGTCAAACTGGGAGGCAGGCTATTAGTGGCTAAAGATATCTGGTTGCTTGTCACCAGCATTGTTTTAATAAAATACGATAGAACAGAAGAATATAATTGTATCTCTTAGTAAATCTTGTTATTAGAAAGAGTGAATCACATGTGGTGACATATGTCTGTAATTCCAGCTACCCAGAAGTCTGAGGCAGGAGTATTGCAGGTTTGAGCCCAGTTGGGCACTTTAGTGAAAGATCTGTATCCACTGATAGGACAGTTTGTTTAGAACCATGAGAGCACAGTATATCACATTAGGTGTGTGTGTGTGTGTGTGTGTGTGTGTGTGTGTGTGTGTGTGTTATCACAGACAGGAACTTTATACAAATTGATTTAGTTTTACAACTTATTATGATAGACAACACTTCATTTAAGAAGATCGTTGCATTGCTAATTTACTATTGAGGACCTACCATATGATACACACTCCATTAGAGATACACTGATAAATAAGATGTGGTCTACAATGTTGTAGGAAGACAACTGTGATAATGTAATCAGAATCACCACGTCATTTTGGCCTTTCATATCCTGCCCCTTCCTTACTTGCAGCCTGAGCTGTAATCATGAAGAGTACTTGTAGTTTCCGTGTACTTGCCGTTTTCTTTTCTGGACTACTGTTTGTTTCCCTTCTTGCCTGGTGAACCCCAATTTACCCCTAGGCCCCAGTGTCCCGACTTTCCCAGGCAAAGTTAACTATGACTCATACTCCTTTGGGGCCAAGTTGTTGGTTACTACTATAGTTGGTTACTTGTGTTATTTTCCCCAGGAAACTGAATTACTGTAGGGCAGGGATGTTTTATTCATTTCTGTTTCTCTAGCTGTCATACTGTACCTTACACAAAGACAGTGCTTAAAATACATGCTTAGTGGGTAAGCAAATAGAAGTGCTATGAAGATATGCTGTGATGAGAGCATTATCTACATAATATCTTCATTGATCTTTCTACCCTCTCATTTCATATATACCTTTAAAAAGCAGCCATCTAACCTCCAAAGCAAACCAGAGACAGACTGTTTCACCAATGGTGAGAAGAGAGTTAGGCTTTGCTAAATATGAGAGGGAAAGGGAATTTGGGAGGATAATTTAGGTTTCCCTGCTATTTCCCCTTAACACCTTGGAAAATTATATTTCATTTCAGAAATATAACAGCTAAGACTGAATTATATTTGTCATTTCATCCTTTCCTTAATTAGCAATATTTCCTTAGACAATTAGGTAAAGTGGTTTTGTTTGCCTTTTGGCCAGCAGGTAATGACCCCAATTTCTTTGATTAAGAAAACACAATGCCTAGCACAGTCCACTTGTGGTCTACAAAAGCTTAAAGGATTAGAATCAAGTTTTAACATGTCTCAAATATTCATGAGGCAAATTACGTTTTCCGTCCATGTGGCATATGTATTTATAAAATTTCTGAACTATGTTCACTTTGATCATGTTTGTAGTTATTTAAAAATTTTATCTTGCTCTAAATCTTGTAAATATATTCATAGTCATAATTGTTTAGGGCTGGGGATTTAGCTCAGTGGTTCCAGCGCCTGCCTCGCAAGTGCAAGGAGCCGAGTTTGATCCCCAGCACCAGAAAACAAAAACAAAAACAAAAACAAAAAAACCCAAAACAAAAAACAAACAAAAAAACCCAACATTGTTTAGAAAGTTCTGCTTTATAAAGAGACCTGATTGTATATTACAGGTGTAAGTCAGTCCTAAAGTCAGACAGACCTTGGTTTGATTCCTAGATATGTCTTTTCCTAACCTGGTGACCTTGGGTACATTACTCAATCTTGCAATACTTCAATTCCTGCACAATAAATTTAATTCTTAATACTCTGTGTTACTAGGGGATTGGACCAGATTCTGAATAGAAAGAGCTTACCCCAAGTCTTAGGATATTGTGAGTTTTTAATGAATGCTAACCATTCCTGTAACATAAAATTTCTTTCTTTTCTTTTCTTTTTTTTGTTTTTGTTTTTGTTTTTTTGACACAGGGTCTCACTATGTAGTGGAGATTGACCTGGAACTCACTATGTAGCCCAGGCTGGTCTCGAACTCACAGTGATTGTCCTGCCTCAACCTCTTGAGTGCTGGGATTACAGGCATGTGCCACCATGCCCAGCCAACATAAAATTTCTTTATTGCAAGATAAAAGCATTTTTCTCCTTGGCACACGGACTTTTTTCTTTTAAATATCCAGAACTTAATGGATTTTCCCCAATCATAGCTGGAAAGAGGAGTATTATTTTCATTATTTTAATAAGACATAAAATTTAGGAAAATAAGGGCTTGTGTGGCTAGAACTTGGCAGTGAAGTTTAGCCTGTGGGATGCTGCAGTCCTGGACACTCAGTGTTTTTCCTTTTGCAAGTCCTTACAAAATGTTGATGTGCCATGAAGCACCTTGATGTCCTTTTACTACTTTGGTAAGAGTGAGATTTAAGTGTCTTTGAGACAGACCAAGTTGTAATTCCTGTGGGCAACGACATTACTTTGTAAACCATATTAAATGCCAAATATGCATAAGGGCTTAATACATTTCTAACAGATGTGTGATTTTGAATTTTATATAATTATAGTAACACTTGCTCTGGGCCCAAAATTGGGGCATATAATACAACAAAATATTTTAAATATTTTGATATATTTACTAATCAGGCATAAAGAACAATAAATTTCAGTAATTTGTAGGAAAATAGGTGCACTTTAAGATCATAATTCTAAGTGAAATAAATCAAGACACTGGTTAAATATCTGTTTCTCTTATATGGGGAACCCAAAAGTATAAATAATTTAAAGAGTAAAATGAAAGATAGATGATAGGAAACAGGGAGGTAGACCGTTTGCAGATGGAAAGGGGATTCTGGGATGTAGGGAGAGGGAAGAAGTAAAAAGCAAAGAAAGGGAAGTAAAAAGGATTAGGATGTGGTATGTATATGTACCAACTTTCCATGATGCATGTATTTATTATGTATTGCAAATGTGTACTAATACATTTTTTTAAATTGGAATTTTTTGTTTGAAAATAATTTTCTACCCACAGAAGTATTGCCATACCGACACAAATCCTATGTAGTTATTATTCATTTTTCCCTGAAGTTAGCATCTCACAGTACTGTGGTAAAATAAGAAATGGATATTTGTATAATATAATTAATAAACTATACACTTGGTTAATATTTCATTAGGTTTTTTTTTTCTTTTTTCTTACAAGACATAGTCATGCTGTTTTCCAATTTGGTCCAGAACTCTGGGCTCCAATGGCCCTCTGGCCCAAGCCTCTCAAATAGTTTGGGAAACAAATGCAGGCTTCCACACATGGCTCACCAACTTTTCCCCCACAGATGTCCTTATTCTATTTTGGGGTCCAATGCAAGATAGTATGTTACATTTGTTGTCATGGCCTTTAGTCTCCTGTTATCTGTGATAATCTTCTTTTATAATCTTGACACTTTCAGTTTTTTGGTTTTTTGTTACTGGGGATCGAACTCGGGACCTTGAGCTTTTGAGGCAGTCAGTGGAATCACTGAGCTAAATCCCCGGCAACCTTGACACTTTTAGAATGATTCTCAATTTCAATTTCTGTGATGTTTCCCTTTTATTAAACTGAGGCTAAGGAATTTGGGGGTGAACATCACTGAGATGTTCTTACCACATCCTATCAGTGGGCATGGGATCACAGTCATCTGTCTTCTTTTTGGTGATGTTAATCTGGACCAGCTGGCACCTGCCCAATCTCTGTACTGTAAAATTATTTTTTTCCCTTTGTAATTGTAGATCTTGCTTGCAACAGCTAATTTTTTTTCAATTTTAATGTTTTTATTTGTATATGTTCAGAGTAAACAATGATTACATTCTTTGTGTAGATTTGGTACATGTACATATGACATCTTTCATTGTCCCTTCCATCTCTTGGTCCTCTTCCCCTTTGTAAAAGACCTATTTCTTTCTTTTCCATTATCTGCCTTTTATTTTGCTCTTTATATTTTGGATTTCTCATATAAAACAACCATTTCAACTTGTGCATCTGATTTATTTCATGTAACATTATGGTCTCAAGGTGCCTCCACTTTTATACAAATGACTCAAGTTTATTCTTCTTTATGGTTGACTAATACTTCATTATGTATAACTTCCATGGAAGAAGAAAATGCCAAACAGTCAAAGATCAAGTCTTTTGTAAAAGTTTATAAAAACAATTATGTCATGAACCCATGAATAAAACTGTCATCAAACACTAATGTCTTCAGAGACCCTGTTTGCCTTAAACAACCTTATAAATCTGGTTTCCCAAACATACTGACTAGGAGACTCAAGCTATCCTGTTGGGGTTGCAGTTTATTTTTCATGTTTACTATTTGATCCCTTTGGATTTTTCAAGTGTGGTGAATTTTTTAGAGACTAATTACCCTGGCATAAAGTGATAACATTAACTATCAAACATGTAGAGTTGATAACAAGACCCCTTGTTGACATCTCCATTATATAGACAGCCTGCAAGGATTAAAATAAATAGCTCTATTACTTATAAAGCTATTAACTATAAACGTTTTATACCATTGTACAAATTTAATAGAATTTATTAGGAATTTAAGAAAACAAAGTTTTAAATGACAGCTAATACATAATTTGAATAACAAAATAGTCTCTCTTACCTTAAATAGAATGACCTTATATGTAGTAACATGCTTGCTGAAAATAATGAAGTATTTCCATCCATTAAAAATGTATTTACCAACAAAATACATAATAAAGAATGATTTGTAGCATAAATGTAAACTAGCTAATTTATCTTTTACTTATGATTTATTTTATAGTTGTAGTGTTTTAAATCATTAAAAAATGCAGAAATATATGATTAATCTACCGGAGATTATCAGGAATAGTGATTCCACTAAAAAGCTGCTGTCATACGTCATCAGAATTTTCTTTGCAATCTGGATCCAACATCAGGAGGTGGATTGGCCTTTGCTTGGCTGTTCTGTAACATAGATTCAGAATATTCTTTTACTGTAGTATTCACAGATTTTAACAAGTGAACCATCTTACAGATTATAGATTTTAATAAGACTAAACTCACATTTCAAATTCTTTTTTTTTTTTTTTTTTGGTACCTGGGATTGAATTTGAGTTTGCAAGCAGGTGCGGTGCCACTGAGCTAAATCCCTGGCCCACACAATTCAAATTCTTTAATGTTACATATATATCCATTTCAACAAAAATGATTATCATTCTATATAAGGCATCATATTAACTAACTATAATAATTTATGATCTTCATTTTTGCTATTAGTAATCTCTTCTTAGTGCTTTCTATCATCTGTTGGGATAGAAAGTTTAATAATTTTATTTTGTACAGGAAGCACTTTGAACCTGTGTAAGACTTTATGGGTGTTTACCAATATTTTGGGCTAAAGAAGTAAAGTTGCTTGGGAGGTAATTGCTAAAAGTTCATTAAATTTATTTTATTTTAAAGTAAATACAACACTCTAAAATCAAAAGTCTGTGTCTAAGATCTGTAATTTTTTTATTGAAGATTTTAATCTGTAATTTTTTTATTGAAGATTTTAAACTAAACAATGGAATCTTGAGGTTGCCCTGTATCAACTCTCTTGTTTTATTTGCATGCTGTCCCTATGAGAATGCAAGCAACTTTCTCCTCTTTCTAAACATATCCCTAGCAGAGCACCTGACAGGTGTGACAAATCCAGGTGATGTCTGTTCAATGAAGAAAGAGACTAATACAATAACTTCTACAAAGTGACGGTCAGGCTGCATGGTTGCCAAAAGCAAGAAATTCTAAATTCTGGGCAGAATAGCTTGGACTGAAAAGTTTCCCAGATGGACAACACAGAGATCAAGTCCTGAAGACTAAGTAGAGTAAAGCAGATAAAAGAACAAGTCTTGTAAAGCAGTGAAGACATTGTGGGCCCTCAACTGTGGGGCCAAGGACTTCCAGGGAGACTTGCAAATAATGCAACAAGATGCTAAGTTATGGGCCATGAAACAACTGGAGGACAGGCTACAAAGGGCTCGAATGCTTTCCTCTGGAGTTTTAATTTTATCTTTCAGGTGACAGCTAACCACTGAAGATTATGTTTAAGCAGATAAATAATACAGTCATATTTTATTCTAAAGAAATTATTCTGATGACGGGGATGTGGAAGATGCATTGGAGAGAGCGAATCTGGAGGCAGTTGTATTGGTCCAGATGAAACATGGTAAACGCTTCAAAAAATTAAAATGACGATGACAGCTGTTATATTTTCAAACTCAGGGCCCTCATTTTTATTACACAAGTGCTCTACCAATGAGCTACATCCTCAGCTACATGATTAATATTTTATTTATTTATTTATTTATTTCTTTTGGTACTGGGGATCAAACTCTGGTCCTTGTGCTTGCAAAGTAGGCAGTGGTGGAACCACTGAGCTAAATCCCCAGCCCCATGATTAATATTTTAATTATACAAATTTATGGGGTACAGTGCAGTAATTCATGTATACAGTTTGTAATGATAGTTAGCATTTCCATCCTTGAACTTCTACTTTTTTATTTTGTGGTACTGTGTATTTAAACCAAGGCTTTCACATACAAGATAAGCGGTCTACCACTGGAATGCACCCATAGCTCTACTCGAACTTCTATGCTTTTCATGAACATATAATAATTGTACATGTTTTAGAAGAACAGAGTATTATTTTAACGCATATATGCAATATATACTGATCACAGCAGGGTAATTAACATTTTCATCTCATCAATATTTTGTGTTTAGAGCCTGCAAGCTCTTCTTTCTAATAATATCTCAACAATGTCTATTTGCCATTAGACTGTACTAATTTATTAAATATTAACACTCAATAAAGGGCTTTGGAAGCACTCCAGAAGCAGTGCTACTTTTATGGAGAAAGAAACCCTGTTTCAGAATATTAAAAAAATTCAGATTCAAGTAAATTATTGCATTTTACTATAGTATGAAAAAGACAGATAATTCAAAAATCATGCATAAAAAATTCATAAGTTAGTGAGGCATAGTGGCATATGCTTGTAATTACAGCACTTGGGATGCTGAGCAGAAGGATTGTGAGTTAGAGGCTAGTCTGGGCAAATAACAAGCTCTGTCTCAAAAAGAACAAAAAAATCATAAGACAATCAACATTTTTTATATATTTAGTATATGCTAGTTTCTATAAAGCAGATTTGTAAGTGAAAAACAATGTTGAAACCAAGAAGATTTTCCACTTACAGAGACAAAAAAATACCTGTGTAATACAGATACAAAATGTGAGATGCTACAGAACTAGGTTCATAGGAGGGTGAGAACATCACAAAGTGAATTTGTTATAGAAGACTTCATAGAGGAAGTGATATTAAGTTGATGCTTAATGAGTTGAATTTGTAAAACAAAGCAAAAAAACCCCACTAAAATAATAAGATGTAGTTAAGAATTAATACATAAGTATCATTAGAGAAACAGGCAGAACAGAATATTGCAAACTTGATGAATAATATATTAAATATTCTTGGGTGGCATGGAAATTCATAGTGTAATGAGAAAAGGAAAAGAAAAGAGGACTACAAATGTGGTTAAAATGATTCCTTATTTTTAGAAGAGAAAGTTATACTTTAACTTAAGTAATTTCATTTAAATACTTAAGTGTAAATCCCACATACTTAAATTTTATTGAAGTGCTTTCAGGAATGTTATATTTTTGGGGGACAATTAAATAAGAATCTAATAATAATAATAATCTAAACAAGCATGTATTTAGCATGTACTGTTATAGGCACTGTTTTAAGTGCTTTACTTCGATGGTAATCTTACATAATACTCTCAGGTACTCTATGGGATAAATGCCATTTATTTATACTACTTATTTATAGGATTTATTTATATTATTTATTTATAGGATGACTATAAGTATACAGTGATGGCATGGGGGAAGGTTGCAGTTTATTATTAATTATTATTATTATTCTGGAATTTCAGTCTTGCACTTGCTCTAAACAATGGTAGGATACTGATCACTGTGTTATTTTACTTGAAAATAAAGGCACTTGGGTTAAAAAATATTTCCCTCATGCAAGGGGTAGTGTCTGAAAAAAAATTGTTTTTTTTTTTTTTTTTGGTACCAGGGAACAAACTTGGGACCTTATGCTTGCAAAGCAGGTGGCAGAACCACTTAGTTAATTCCCTGGCCCAATGTCTGAAATTTTACTATTAGAAATTCACCATGCATGGTGCTACACATTTGTAGTCTCACTCCCAAGAGGTTGAGTGAGACAGAAGGATTAAGAGTTCAATGCTACCTTGGGCCACATATTGAGTTCAAGACCAGGGTAGACTATAGAGTGAAACAAAAAGTTTCATTTCATATACAGTCTTTAAATTATTTAAATGGTTTTACATGTTTCATTCTGAGAAATCATTTTAAAATTTCATCCTGAAAACCTTGGCATAGATGAATATATCAGTTCACTTTCCTGCCTGAAAGGAGAAATCCAAATAAACACAAATAAATATCAAGGGAAAAAAAGAAACAGAAGTAATGACAGGACAGAGAAGGAGACTCCCCAAAGTGTGCATGTGTTGAGATGGGGTGGCTGTGGGTAATTGTGGGTTGGAGAGTGGATCAGAAAAATGATATAGTCATAGAGCACATTTTATTCAAACAACTGGGGAACTTTGGAATGTGTATCACACAATACTATTACATTAGTGTTAAATTTCTTGGTTATAATAATAGTGTTGTACTTATATAGAGGAATGTGTTTATTGTCAACAATTGGTTAATTCAAGTGAAGAGTAAAGAAACATAAAAATAACAGTCAAATGTGTAGACAAGAATAAAATGTCCAAATCCTCATGTAGGATATGGCAAAAAAAAAAAAAAAACAAAAAACAAAAAAAAAATTTGGTACTAGCTCTTTAAACAAGCAGTTAATAATTTGTGATTTTTATACCATTTTCCCTGAGAATAAATTGAAGGTTCTGACTTGGGTAAATGATGATATTAAAATGAAGGGGTCTGATATATCTGAAGATAAATACTAAAGAAAACTAGTGAATACCAAGTGTCATGAAGAGTAAAAAAGATGTAGGACAAAAAAATTAAAAACCTACCAGTGATCCCCAATCCACACTTTTAAGTGTTAGATAATCTAGTAATATAATTACATAGGACACTAATACAACAATTTCCTGATTTTTTTCCTCCTGAATAATATGTAGTATTCAGGCTGTGTGGTTAATACACTGTTTTTAACTTGTACCGAATAGTGATTTCAGTCACTACAAGCATTATCTGACTAATGTGAAATAAGAATCACAGTAATTAATAATAAATGTCAGAACTGACATAGATTATCACAGTCAAATTTCAGGCACAGAAAAACCCTCACTGTAAAATTACTGAATAATTGAGATGAAAAATTTGAGAAAAAAACAAACTAGTACGTAAAAGTAGGCATGAAAAACTCAGGAATTAAAGGTAGAGCTGACAAGAGAGTTATATCTAAAAATAATACAAAAAATGCCAAAGGGAACTTCGTAGAACCCTATGCGGAGAAGTAAATAAGCTACAGAAGGGCAGAGAAAGCCTCGTTCTCACTCACTGCTATTCATTATCATAGCCAGAGCATAACAAGAACCTGAAATTTTGCTAAGAAACATTTTACTTCATGTATACAATAGCAAATAACAAGAAATGTAGTATTTTTGCATAATTGCACTTTTTCTGGTCAAAATTTCAGAATGAAGGCACATGATGAAAAACATGGTAGCTGAAGGTGGAGGTCTGAGTCAGCAGTGTAGAGATCCCATCCTCGCTCTGGCCTGTGTCAAGCCAACTGATGAGGACTTGTTGGCTGCCCAGTGGGCCTGCCCTTGCCCTGCCCTCTCCACACCCTCACCCCAACTGCATCCAGTGGAAAGAGGAGGTCTGGATCACCCTAGCAGAGATCCCATCCTCACTCCTG